CTGGTCTCCAGATTGTGAGCAGGCGTTCGTGGATCTCAAAGAGCTATTGATGACTCCTCCGGTTTTGGCATATCCTAACTACACTCGACCTTTTATTTTGCGCGTGGATGCTTCTGACATTGGTATTGGAGGTGTGTTGATGCAAGAGAGCTAGAGTGTGCCTGGTCAGCGCCATCCCATTGCATACATAAGCCGTACATTACAACCAGCGGAGATGAACTACTCCACGACGGAGAATGAGTGTTTAGCAGCAGTCTGGGGTTTCGAGAAACTTCATGCATATCTACATGGTTCTCGGACGTTACTTGAAGGTGACCATACTGTTGTTACTTTATTATTGAAGCAAAAGAACCTGGTTGGTCGTACAGCTCAATGGGCTTTGAAGCTTCAGATATATGATTTCGATGTTGTTTATCGCCCAGGGAGTTCTATGGTTGATGCTGATGCCCTTTCTCGAGCTCCTCTTCCTTCTCCACTCACTTCTCATGTTTCTGACGAACCTGTTCTAGCATCTATGGATTTTCTAGATGAGGATTCTGTGCCATCGGCGGTTGCTGTCCTTGACGTTCAGTGTCCACAGGGTGCAGAGCAAGATCTACCTTCTCTTGATGAGGTTCGCGAGGCTCAAAAGATTGAGCCATGGATTCAAAGGCTTCGAGATGGGTTTGAGAATCCTGCATCACTTGCTGATGACTTACCTTTTCGGCATTTACATTCTCAATATCGCCTTGAAGATGGCCCTCTGTATTTTGTGGGGACGGATCCTGATGATCATTTACAGCTGGTGGTGCCTTTAGTGTTTATTCCGCGGTTTCTCCATGCCTACCATGATTCTCCTGTTCTAGGTGGGCATATGGGACACCGTCGTGTCACCGAGAAGCTGCGCAGGTTTTTCTATTGGCCGGAGATGCGACGTGATATTATCTGGTATGTGCGTAGCTGCGTTTGGTGCCAAGCTCATAATACTCCCCCTCGTGCTGCGGAAGGATGGTTGGAGTCAATTGTGGTTTCCCGTCCATTTGAGTTAGTGGTGTTTGATCTTATGGGACCTTTTCCACGGTCGACTGCTGGCAATGAGTATGTTATTATTGCTTCTAACTACTTGACTCATTAAGTGGAAGTTGGTGCTCTTGCTAGCACCTCTGCAACTACTGTTGGATACTTCCTCCTCAATCGAGTGGTGTTCTAGCATTCTTGTTCAGAGCGGATTCTTTCGGATAATGGTTGGCTGAGGCATTTCATGTTTTTACGTCTCAATTGGGGATATGCCACAATTTCATGAGTGCTTGTCATCCACAATCAGATGGTCTGGTGGAACGGCTTGTTCGGACATTCAAAGGGATGATTGCGAAGTATGTGAACTTTTAGCATTTGGATTGGGATGGTTATTTGCCGTCTCTTCGGTATGCATATGTTACAGAGGTGTAGAGTTCTATTGGTGCTTCACCATATAAACTCTTATATGGTCATGATCTAATATTACCAACGGAGCTGGGTTTACCTTCGCGATTGCCACGAGTTGCCGATGCTAGATCATAGGATCAGTATCTGACGAGCATTCTTCCACTTGTCCCAGCAGAGTCTGCCGAACACTTAGGCCGCGTACAAGTGGGACAACAACGGCGCTACAACTCCCATCATCGTCCACCTGCGAAGTACAAAGTGGATGATTTGGTGTTAGTCCGTTTTCCCCATCTTACGGTATGTGGTTTATCTAAGGGGCTTCTTGCGCAATGGAAAAGATCGTATCGTGTGTTGCGGCAAGTTGGACCACAAGTTTATGAGGTTCGGCATGACGTTCAGCAAGCCGATCCTCCAAAGATTGTGCATGTGCAACGGCTGAAACGCTTCGTACAAAGGGATCAAGAGGAGTTAATACCACCTACAAATCCACTGATGCCTCCTCCTGACGTTCCTCCAGATCCCGGCCCATCTTCAAGAGAACTCTGATGGTCTTCCATTATCCCGAGAGGAGGGGATGATGTGAGGGCTAAGTGTACGGTTACGATGCTATATACTAATATTAGCGTAGTGGGATTTTGGTAGCCGTTGGATTGGTTTCAATCTGGACCACTCACTCCTGTATATAAGCTAGGGTTTTTGGGCTAATTAATATGCACATTTCTGTATTCCCTTTCCATATTCCAGGCACTCACAAAAGTTATTATTAAAATTTATATTTCATATTGTACGAGAAATTTTTTAAAAGAAATAAAGCATTGTATGATAAAACATCTAGAATCCTTATCGCATTTGAAGGGTCGGCACAGAGAAACTTTTTGGAACAGAATTTCTTCACCTTAGTGATAAATGTAGGCCTTTTACCTTCTTTGATGCAATCAGCCAAAGTTTTTCTCATGCTGATGAGATAAAACCAAGGAAGAGTTCCCACAAAAACGATTCCAGGAAATACAATATCTTCCAGTGGTACACGTCCCAGGTCATAGAGCTCATGTAGCCTTTCATTATCTTGTATTGCAGCTATGGATTCTGCCATGAGTTGAGCTTCAGGATTATGACTTCTGAGTTGAAGATGATCAGAGGTTTTGTCTTCAGTAGCTACCATGATCTTTACCATGGTCACTTCATCTTCCACACACAAATCTGAACTTACTTCTGGCCGTCTAACATCTGCAGTGGAATGGTGACTCCAGTCCTTATAGAGGAACCATTCCTGTCATAATCTAAGAACTCCAACAACCTCTTACCCACATCGATGGCACAAGACTCACGTCTCCGGTGAGCTCTATTGGCAGAGATGATGTCCTTCACAAGTAATTCTACAACACAAGACCTAAATGAGATCTCTGCACTAGATGAGCTCAAGTAAACGTCTATAAGATCCAGATCTAAAAACTCTTGAACTTCCTCTGCAAAGACAGTGCATGGTGGTTCACCAAAGAATTCCTCGAAGGACCTAACTTGCGTGACCCAATTCCCTGTCGACCCAAGAAGATCCCACTTCCCTGTTAGCCCGAGAAGATCCCACTTCCCTGTGAGCCCGAGAAGATCCCACTTTCCTGTCAGCCCGAGAAGTTCCCACTTCCTTGCCCTCGTCTGACTCTTTCCTTTTCGTCCTTGCCATAGGGTTCCTTTCAGACTCTTTCGCCATAGGGTTCTTTGTTTCTTTCAGGGTTGATACGTTTTATACGTGGCAAGGGCAATTTCTTTTTTAGGCACAATCCGTAATCTGAGCTCTAGTGGCGAGGCCGGTGTTTCGCCTGGAGCAATCGCGCAGTGCCTCGAGTCTGTCAGTAGTCTGTCACTCGCGAAGATGGCTTTTTGCTAGGAACTCATTGATCGAGGGGAACTGAACTCCCTTCAATGCTGCAGCTTTACGTCCCAGCGAGGGATTCTCAATCGAATGCCGTGTGAGATATTCTCACCTGGATGGTTGCGGCACTTGCCCACTCAGGGCAACTGTAGCGCTTGTTTGGCGGAAAACCAACTCAGAAATCTATGAGCACTCTCAGGCTGGCAAAGTTTCGTTAATGCAGAACATTTGATGTGGTTCCACAATGATAAAAGTTTTTAGAACACTCTTCACGGATGACTCCCTTTGCTATGATCATGCAAACGTATCCGCCTTGGGATGGTGCTTTTCTTTTGAGTGTTTTCCAGGTACATAAACTCAGGTTTATGTGACAGCGCGACAATGTGATCCAAACTTCTTGATCGAGAAAAGCAGTGGAAGGCTGCGATCGATCATCCGCAGGGGATTGCTGTGCATAGCAATGGAGTTGAGACGAAAAGCAAGCTGGAAAGTAAAACCAAGCTTCAGGAGGGACGCAAGCGTTCTGGAAAGCACTATTTTGCTCATTTTTGCAGAGGGGACTTGCGTGAACAAGGAGGACAATGTGATGTTCAAGCAGGTTCTTGATTTCGTAGTTTCTCCAGGTAGTTCTTATTTCCTTGCTCTTGATTTTGCGGATTGCATTCGAACTGGATTTCACTGTCTGCCCCGTTTCTCTGAAAGTAAAACAAGATAATTGTCCACGCTAAGTTTATACTTTTCATCTCGATTGACTTTCAGTTTTTTTTTTTCGTTTAGCTGAAGCTGATGTCGTCCTGGGTAGTCGTTTGCGATGTCTGGTATGTGGAGCCACAAATGAACGATGCACCAATAGGATTCTCGGAGAAGCATGCAAAGAGCACTCTTCTTATTTATATTCTATATTCCTTTCAGAGTCTGCGATAGCGAAACGAGCTGAAGTTACGAAAGTCGCTTGAAATACTACGTCCAATCTCGAAACTCACAGAAGAAGAACAGCTCAACGTGGTGCCATTGGAAAATGTAAGATTCTTGCTTTGTTTTCTCTAAATTTTGCGTGAAAGCCTGTAGCCTACGCGTTTTTCCTCCACGGGCCAGAAACTCCCCTAGACCATGCTAAGAAGATTACGAACAAAGACAAATTCATGGAATGATCGACGTGGTTTTTTTCTTGTTTTTCTTTTTATTTCGAAGAAAGCCAATGCCGAATAAAAAATCTCCGCTCCTCTGGGCCGGCTTGGACCAGATGAGAAATGAAAGCGACGAAGAACCGCACGCGCTTGCGACGTTTGTGTGTTCATTCTTCGTTTGAGTCAAGCACACGAGTCAGGCACACGAGTCAAGCACCGTTTGATAATGGGAATCGAAATGCTGACGGCCTTGGCCAAACTCTTTGTACAACGCGCAAGAATGCCACCATACCGCCTTGCTATGGCGCTTGTAAGAAATTTTGTTTTTGGTCCTGACGTAACATGGTTTGGTCCCGGCATTATGGCTTCCTAGGCAATCTGACGCGCCAGTCCTGTCACACCAGACATTGCGTCAATTCTGCCGTGTGCTGACCGAGGAGCTCTTCGTCACTACGGCTAGAGGCGACTAGGGCGATGATCGATCGATCGATCGTTCTGTGACCGAAATATCGCGACGAAAATTTCAAGACTATCCTTCGCTACCATGCCTTTATTCTAAATAACAGGCTATTTTTAGGTCGCAAAGAAATTCTAGCACAGCGACAGCAACCACATCAATGGATGGAGGAGGAGAAGATGGATCACCTCCTTCCCCTGACGGAGGAGGAGAAGATGGATCACCTCCTCTTCCCCCTGACGCTGGCGGAGCCGATGGATCACCTCCTCCCCCTGACGGAGGAGGAGAAGATGGATCACCTCCTCCTCCCCCTGACGCTGGCGGAGCCGATGGATCACCTCCTCCCCCTGACGGAGGAGGAGAAGATGGATCACCTCCTCCTCCCCCTGACGCTGGCGGAGCCGATGGATCACCTCCTCCTCCCCTCCTGGGCCAGGGTCCGTACGCCCCTGATGCTGGCGGAGTCGATCCTCCCCGCCTGCGGAGTCCGTACGCCCCTGATGCTGGCGGAGCCGATGGATCACCTCCTCCTCCCCGCCTGGGCCTGGGTCCGTACGCCCCTGATGCTGGCGGAGCCGATGGATCACCTCCTCCTCCCCGCCTGGGCCTGGGTCCTCCCCGCCTGGGCCTGGGTCCGTACGCCCCTGATGCTGGCGGAGCCGATGGATCACCTCGTCTTCCAGGAGAAGATGGATCACCTCCTCCCCCTGACGCTGGCGGAGCCGATGGATCACCTCCTCCTCCCCCTGACGCTGGCGGAGCCGATGGATCACCTCCTCCTCCCCCTGACGCTGGCGGAGCCGATGGATCATCCGGCGGTGGAGCTCCTCCTCCTCCCCCTGACGCTGGCGCGAACATTCTTCCATCTCCTCCTGGCACACCTCCTGCTCCAACGACTAGCGACAACAGCGGCGGCGGCAGTAGCTCGATTACCGCTGGCGCGATTGTGGGGATTGCCGTGGCCGGGATTTTGATCTTGATCGTGCTCGCGCTGGTGGTTTGCTGCCTCCGAAGGAAGTCCAAGAGGAAGTATAAACGAGATGACCACGCGTATGGATCAGGGCAATGCAAAGCTGGTAAAGTTTCTTCCTCTCTCTTTTGCTTGCGTGCTTTTCTTCATCTTTGGTTTTAGCTATCTCAAGCTATCTCTTTTTGCTTGAGTGCTTTGCTTCTTAATAATGTTCGCCAGCTTTAGGGAATGCAGGCGACATGAATTCTAAAAGTTTTCTTGCGTCTTCCAGAGATGCATGAAGCCGGCAGGACACCAAGACCAGATCATTATGACCACAAGCCTCCTCCGCCACCACCGCCGCCGCCGCCTCACTATAATTACGCGTATGGGTCTCCAGTTCCGCCACCACCTCCGCCGCCACCACCGCACTACAGTAATTCGGGAAGACAGGATTCCTGGGGGCAACCACCACCGCCCGGTATGAGCCCGAGCATGGGTAGCTCCAGGTCGTTGTTCACGCAACCACCACCGCCCGGTATGAGCCCGATCATCGGTAGCTCCAGGTCGTTGTTCACGCAACCACCACCGCCCGGTATGAGCCCGAGCATGGGTAGCTCCAGGTCGTTGTTCACTTACGAGGAACTTGAGGCAGCGACTGCTGGATTCTCCAGGGCCAATCTTCTCGGCGAGGGTGGGTTTGGATGTGTATACAAGGGATTTCTCCATGGTGGTCAAGTTGTAGCTGTGAAGCAGCTTAGAGATGGAAGCAGGCAAGGAGAGCGTGAGTTTCGAGCTGAGGTTGAGATTATTAGCAGAGTTCATCACAGGCATCTGGTTTCGCTGGTTGGATACTGCATTGAGGATGCTCAGAGGCTGCTGGTTTACGATTTCGTGCCGAATGGAACGCTGGAGCATCACCTGCACGGTACAAGTTTTTGTCCGTGTTTTTCCTTGTTCTCAGTCTCGTTTTCTCTCTTGTTTTTTCAGGTGAAGGTAGAACCGTGATGGATTGGCCAACGAGATTGAAAATAGCTTCTGGTTCTGCTCGTGGACTAGCATATCTTCATGAAGACTGTAAGATCTCTATCTCTCCGTTGGAACTTAATCTAAAAGTCATTCGTTCTTGCAGGCCATCCTCGAATCATTCATCGGGACATAAAGTCGTCTAACATTCTTTTGGATAACAATTTTGACGCTCAGGTTTGTTGTTACATATTTGCTCACTTTCTTTCAATTGTAACGCTTGTCCATTACAGGTCTCTGACTTTGGGCTTGCGAAGCTCGCTTCTGACACTTACACACACGTCACTACTCGAGTTATGGGAACCTTCGGGTAAGGACATAACCAACCAAATATATCAGTTTCCCATATGAATTTTTCAAACTTCCAGGTACCTTGCGCCTGAGTACGCCTCCACAGGAAAACTGACGGAGAAGTCAGACGTGTACTCCTTTGGAGTCGTCCTACTGGAACTTATAACGGGAAGGAGGCCTGTAGATACCACGCAACCTGTGGGAAAAGACAGCTTGGTCGAATGGGTGAGTCTTTGCAAAACCTCATCCTTGGACATGCTAAAACTTATTGCCTCTTTCAGGCTCGACCATACCTCATGCAGGCTATCGAGAATGGCGACCTCGGTGGCGTAGTCGACGAAAGACTAGCAAACTACAACGAGAACGAGATGCTACGAATGGTCGAGGCAGCTGCAGCCTGCGTTCGACACTCAGCCAGAGAACGCCCAAGGATGGCAGAGGTTTGTTTGCATCTTTTGTTTTCTCGAGCAACCACTAAACTCCTTGCATTTTTCTTTCAGGTTGTCCCCGCTCTAAAAAGCGATATCTCCGACCTCAACCAAGGAGTAAAGCCAGGCCACAACTCGAACTTCACGAGTGCGGACTACAATAGCAACCAATACGTCTCAGACATGAAAAGGTTCCAAAAGGTGGTGTTTGGAAGCCAAGAACACGGGAGCTCCGAACACAGTGGCCCGCCGACGAGCGATCCCTCGGTGTCGAGCAGTGAAGGGATGAGCAGCATGGAGATGGAGAGGCGGCGGGCTGGGTTGCTTTGGAGCTCGGACACGACGAGTTCCAGTGAGATCAATGCCAACACCAACAGCAGTAATCGTCTCAATGGCCGGTAAAATTTCGAGAAGAAATATCACAGGGAAGAAGAGAATATTTTTTTAAGTTACTACGTTGTCTCGTTTGTATAATATATTTGATCGATGCTTGGCCGCGATGGCCGGGCTTGTGTGCCTCGGTTATTTGCAAGGCTGGGGAGAAGAAAGCGCCCGCGCGGTTCATCCAGAAGCAGCAGATGATCTCCAGCCGCGAGGCAGCGGCCGAGGCGGATTATGGCAATCAGCCATCCCTCGGCTCTCGATCGGTGAGTTTCTTGGAGCTGGGAAGGGATTTCGGCTGAGGTTTTCGTTCTAGATCATGTGACTGTGAGCTTTGCGAGGAGTGGATGTGCTGGCGGCCAAAATGTGAACAAAGGTGTGATTTTTTTGGTGTTTGGGACTTTGGTGATCAACTTTTTTTTTTCTTGTTCGACAGTGAACATGAAAGTGGACATGCGATTCAATGTGATGAACGCGCATTGGCTCTCTCTCCAAGTGAGGAACAAGCTGCTTCAAACAGTTTGTCACGATCTTTGAAATGTGAGACGTCTAGTAGTTTGGAATGAGTTTTTCTATACTAATTCCACGGTTTTGTGAACAGGAGAAGAACCGGATCAACAGCAACAGGTGAATTGGTCATTTCAAGGAAACGTCGATGATGCTCTAGCTAACGTTTGTTTTCATCGTGCTTTGTTTCTTCAGTAGCTAACGTTTGTTTCTTCTCCCAAGGTTTCTTCCGCGATGGATATCTTTCAAAAATTGTTGGAGTTTCTTGATTACCTCTATAGGGAATTTGGCATTAATGCCCGTGGCTCAGAACATCTGATTTGGTTCCACAATGATAAAAGTTTTTAGAACACTTCTTCACAGATGACTCCTTTGCTATGATCATGCAAAAGTATCCAGCTTGGGATGGTGAGCTAACCATCTTCTATAAATCTTTTCTTTTGAGTGTTTTCCAGGTACATAGACTCAGGTTTATGTGAGAGCGTGAGAATGTGATCCAAACTTCTTGATCGAGAAGGCTGCGATCGATCATCCGCAGGGGATTGCTGTGCGTAGCAATGGAGTTGAGACGAAAAGCAAGCTGGAAAGTAAAACCAAGCTTCAGAAGGGACGCAAGCGATCTGGAAGACACTATTTTGCTCATTTTTGCAGAGGGGACTTGCGTGAACAAGGAGGACAATGTGATGTTCAAGCAGGTTCTTGATTTCGTAGTTTCTCCAGGCAGTTCTTATTTCCTTGCACTCAATTCTGCAGATTGCATTCGAACTGGATTTCACTGTATGCCCCACAAGATAATTGTCCACGCTAAGTCTATACTTTTCATCTTGATTGACTTTAAGTTTTTTTTCCCTGTTTAGCTGAGGCTGGTATTTGTTTGAGATGTCTGGTATGTGACCCACAAACAAACGATGCACCAATAGGATTCTCAGAGAAGCATGCAAAGAGCACATAACTTTATATTTATATTCTTTTTAGAGTTTGCAATAGCGAAACAAGCTAAAGTTATGAAAGTTAAAGTGATCATTCATTGATTGTTTTGTATTTGCTCCTTTGAGCACTTTATTGAGATTTTCACTCTTGCTTTTGACTTTCCAAGTTGGAGTTTTTAGTCCAAACATGTCATGCTCGTTAGACTTTTGATTCAACCATTATTATATGGCACACCTTTGGCTTTACTTTGGGTATCAGGTGTCTTATATGTTGTTCCCATGTTTAAATTCACAATCTAACATCATTTTATATTTAATAAATTTTTATGATTGTCCCAAAGACTAACTCTTAGGACTAAAGTGAGGGGTAAAATAGTGTGTAGGTCAAGCATGGCTAATCAATTTAAAACATAGTTTAGCTCTTGTTTGTATGCTTATTTTTGTTTTACATCTGTGTTAGGTTTATACTATGCTAGCTTATGAAGTGCTTATATCCTTGCATTAGTCCACTAATATACTAAAATAATATTAAACTCCATTTGATTATGTTTTGTGTGCTAGTCATGGCATTGGGATGCTGGAAACTCTAGGATTGTACCAATTGTCTATGTCCTATTCAT